CCCGGGGTGGGCGCTGCGCCCGTGCTGGTCCCGGCCACTAGCAGCGGAGCCGGAGAAGGCTGCGCCGGGCGAGGACCCGCTCGGCCGGGGCTGCGAGCAGACTGACCACGGCAGACACGCTCGGCCGGGCTGCGAAGAGCGGGCACAGACGCTCGCCGGCGACTCCGCTCGGAGAAGGGGCGACACAGGCGCTCCGCAGGGGCGGCAGCGCGGCAGGGTTGCATGGGTAGAGAGTTTCGGCCAGATCACAAAAACATCTTGAAAATAGAGAGTAGCGACAGCTTCACACTGTGAATGTACTTGACACGCCTGGATTGTACACTTAAAATGGTAAAGTCATACATTTATAACTATTTGTTTGAGACAGGCCTTGAAGTGTGGGAATCCTCCTGCCTCAGCCTCCTGAGCACTAGGATTACAGGTGTGTGCCACTATGTCTTGTTCAACAAGTTTAAAATAATGTAATATGTTTAAATTCATTAGTTATACACTTTAAATGGATGAATTGTATAAGGTGAATTACATCGGTAAAATTGTTTTACAAGAAATAAAAATATGTGAATATATTTTATGAAGAGTACACATTACTTGTCGAATATGTTGGGTTTCCCACTTTCCTCTTTCCTGTTCTCCCCGGCAGCAGCCCTGGCTCTTGCAGATCTGGGCGGACTCTGCACAGACCCCAGTCCGGGCTGACCCGGTGGAACGCGGCCCTGGGCTCCTCCCGTGGGCTCTGCAGCGCCCTCCCAGGATGCGTTTTCGCCCCTGCGTCCCCCAGGAGGTCCCCTGCCGGGTCTCGCACCGAAGTTGCCCTGCCCGGCCACCGCGAGCTCAGCTCCAACACGCGTATGCACACACGCTACTCTGTGAAATGGGCTCAGGACAGCCTCTCTGCCTCTCAGACGGGATCTAAACGCATCAGGGCCACCTGGACCGGACCCTGCCCGCTACGAGAAGATGTCCCAGAGAGACAAGGCCTAAAGTCTCCTGATCAGTCAGAAGAGCTCCGCGGGGCTGGACTCCCTCCCTGGCGACCTCCTCAGCGCCCAGAACCCGACGCACCGTGGTCGGCCTGGCTGGGACTGAGAAAGGGCGGGACCGCAGGGACTGATACGAAGCTGCCAGGCTGATCAAACTTTGATCAGCAATTCTCAGGGTGTAACCTGAGATGCGTTGGAAGGGCTGTGGCAGAACTCTCTCCGTCGTTCCCGCGTCTTCGTGGGAACCGGGCTTCTCCGCGTGTACATCTGTGAATGTGAAATCGGGACCAGAGACGGAGGGACGGGCCACACACACCGGCCTGAGGGGGCAGAGTCACGTCCTCTTGCAGAGGCCGCTGTTTGTATATGTGTCTTTCCCTGTGATACTTTCTTCAACGTTATAAATATATTTGACTTTTGATTATAAAACTAATCATGTTAATTGAGAATATTTGACACTCTGAGCCTTGCGATCACAAGAAGCAAAGTGATCAATAAAAGCATTTAATCATAAAGTAAGTATTATAGGTGGGTGAACTTCTGAGGTGGGGGAATAGAATGCAGATATGGATTCGAGGGGGAAATTAAAGGAAGACTTTCCAATATTAAAGAGGCGCCGTGTTCAAAGCAGACCCCGTTTGCAGGACATCCGTCGGTCTGCGGAATTCACCGAGCGCACGCAAGGTGTCCCCAGTGCGGCTAACGTTGACATCAGCACCGACGACACACTCCTCGCTGCTGCTGCACCCTGGACGGAGCTCAGGGGACACTGGCTGAGCGCGGGCATCTTCGCAGGGTCCAGACACCGAGAGGGGGCGGCTCGAGCTGCGGCGGGGCCGGGGTTGCGGGAGCCCCGGGAGCCACGCGCGGCTGGATTAGCCGCGGTCGAGCCC